ATGACTGCAAAAACCTCAATCCCTAGCCTGTGTTATCTGGCATTCTATCATTGTAATACCTACCTGCTTGACACTGCATGCTTGCTATTGAGGGCCTAGGACTTTGTTGAGGGTGATAGAGTTGAGCTTAACAACAGAAAATCAGAGAGTTGATTAGTCTTTTAAACAAAGGAATCAGGAAGTCACCGACACATTATTACATTATTTGATATATTGTAAACTAAAAACCCATAAGGTTTATGCCTTACTGGCTATGTCTCTCTTTCTCCCTCCATTTCCTCTCTTGTTTCTTTCTATTCCTCCAGATAGCATCCTCTCTAAACACTGTTCACTAGGAGGGCATTAGTGCCTTCATCTTGACATTACATGTCTGGTCTTAGGTATGTAGGTCTTTGATACTTTGAAAGAGAGATGTCCCATGGTGCCTTGTAGCTTATCTAGTTTGATGTCTCAGAATCCTTTTCTGTAGATGAAGGGGAACTAGAGAGTGTCTATGGAGTCTCTAAGTAGAGGGCACCATTTCTGGACCCTGACAGCTGTATCATTCTCACAAATTATTGGTCTTGCCATGTTCCATTTGTACTGAAAGAACTCTGGCTAATTTATACTTGTGGAGTGACTTCAGTTGTGGAAGACTGAAAGGATTCAGGAATGACTGCATTCTATAGCATAATTTTTTCTTTGTAGCCCTTTTGTACCCAAGCTGTTGAAGAGGGTACTTGTGAGTAGAGAATGACTACTGGTGATCTACTGGGGATGAGTAAACAGATTATTTTCAGCAATTGTGTAAATGTTAGCACGTTTAAAAGGCTTAGCTCAAATAGGAATCCAGTATGAGGTGCTTTGTGAAACTAGAGTGATAAATATACAGTGTCGTTTTTAACCGACTACATGTCTGAGTCCTCTTGGTTGGTCTATTTACACAGGTTCCCCTATTCTGTTCTCCCTGAGTGGTGGAGAAATAGAAGGAATACAGATATCAGTCTTATCCAGAAAGAGCCTTACAAAACACAGGGGTAAGAACATACCTTTGCATCACAGAAAATGTTGGTCTACTGAGCCAACTACTGGCTCTTGAACAGGTTCTGTGTTCAGGGATTTTCTTAGAGAACTTGGTTGATAATCCTGCTCTGGGGCATAAAATATGAATAAAGTCAATGAATTTCATGACAGCTCTTTGCAGTGTGAAGATGCTTAGTGTGTGTGTACTGACTGCAGGAGTGAAATGGATAAAGAAAACTATCTGTCTTTCCCTGTGACAGTTGTCTGAGAAGCTTGAACTTGCAGAGTGCCATAGTCCAGGCTGTTATTACAAGATACCACAAACTAGGTGCGTTATAGAAACAGAACTGTATTCTTTCCTTAAAGTTCCAAAGGCTGAGAGGTTTAGTCCAAGGCAGGTTTGATGTTTGATGAGGGGCTGCTTTCTGACTCAGGTCCTTCTTGCTGTATGCTTGTATGGTGTCAGGGGCAAGGGGTCTTCCTTTGGCCTGTTGTTAAGGGTACTAGTTCCAGCCCTGAGTGCCCCATCCACATGATCTTATCATCTCCTAGGAGACTCCACCAGCTAATACCAGCTGCTTGGAGGATAGGGTTTCAGAATGTGAATTTTGGAGGGAGACCGAGCATTCATACTTCAAGTAGGAAAGTGGCATGAATTAACATCTGGTCATTTGGTTTTAGGTATTTACCCTTTTAGAGATTTGGTAAACTCTTTTTTTTTTTTAGGAGGGAACCAGAGAGTTCCATATCCAAGTAAGTGCTCTTCATTAAGTTTAACAGATTGTTGATTTGTCATTCAGATATCCAAAATATATAGATCACTAAGATCAAAGGAAAAGAAATCAAATGCTGATTACAACAGTGAATATGTAATTTACAACTGTGAAATTAGAAATATTGTAACAAAGTTTCCTTTACTTTCTGTCTTAAACCACAGATATATTTTCCTGTCTTTAGTAGGTCAGAAGTATGGCCTTAAACATTCTGGTGCTTTATTTGAACATTTTTTTTTATTCACTTAAAACATTAACGATATTGACATGTTTGACTTTGTATCCAGTCTGCATGACCACATCTGAACAGTTTTGTGATTTGGTTAGGTTATCCAAAATCAAGAAGCCCACACTGACTTCAGTTCTTCAACTTTCATGGAGATACTTTCAAAATCCTACTTATTGATGATAAGTCAATTTAATTAAGCAAGAAAGTTCACATGCAGTTACTCTGGCCCTCTATGTGTTTCCATTTGTACCCAATGGGGCTTTGTATATGAGGTATATACTTAAAAAAAATGACAAAAGAGGCAGCCATGCTGGAATCATGCCAGGAGGCTCTGAACTGGACTGGGAAGTTGTTCAGCAGCTACTGAATGTGGATGTTCAGCTCAGGGAAAGAAGTAACTGCCCACAGGGTGGGTTCTCTAAGCACTAGTACCAAGAAAGTGAATAAAGTGGATACTGTGATTCTCATGTTGAAAAAAAAAAAAGATAAAAAAAAATAGGAATAAAAAGAAAGCTGAGCAGTTTATTTCTTTGACTTTACATGGCAGATTTGGATTCTCATGTCCCAGTAGCTAGTATGTTGTTTTCCCTTTTCCATACATCAAAAGCAAGGAACACACTTGGGGACAAGGAATAAACTTGACCATTCTTTAGATTCTCTTAGCAAAAGCTTGCATGCAAGAGAAAGCATGTAACATTTAAAACTGCACAATTGGTTTTTATAATTAAGAAAAAAAAAAACCTTGCACTTTCTAGTCATTTTGTCTTAAGTTTACTGACAAGATGACTGTTTCTGATTTTGAACACCTATTTGAAAAAGGGCTTTCTCAAAGCATTTTATATACATTCTTTCGTCTTTTTTCCCTTCCTTTGCACTTGACCTTCCTCTTTTTCATTGTTTTTCTTGAATTATGTTCCTGTGGTCTTCTCTCCTCCCATTCTCTGGCTTCTGTGTTCTGAGTGGTTCTGCACATCACTCTGTCCTTGGTCCTCTCTCCACACTGCTCAGTCTTCTCAGCTCATCTGATCTGCTCATGACCTTGTGCTGCCAGACGGCTTCCAGACACCTCAGCTGCTGCTTAATTTAGAGTTGACTGTGGAAGGGCCCTCAGGTGGACAGAATGATTCTTCTGGCATCCTGTCCATGGTGTTAGTGACTGATACAGGAGGACAGACAGAGGGAGGACAGGCCCTGTGACCTTGGCAGTCAGCCACAAGAGACCACTTGGTCATAACTCACCAGAGCGAACTTTCAGCCACCCTGAATGTATTCCAATTCAGTTTCCTTAATCATAATTCAAGAACACTTCCTGGAGTCTTTGTTTGGCACTCAGTTTGTCTGGGGCGCCACTGGTTTTTATGCATGACTTGGTAAAAGGAATATTTTGTATTTATTGCATTAGTATTACAGAGAAGTGACAGTTCTTTGCATTTATCGTTCAACCCCTTCAAAACACTTTTCCCTCCCCCCCTTACGCCAATAGGGCAACTGTCAGCTGTTCATTTCTCACCATGGTAGGAAGAAGTACTCTTCATCTCAGAAATACCGGCTGTCATCTCTATGGGTCTCTTAGCAGGTATTTTATTTTCCTCTCCAGCAGAATTTGAGATCTGAACTCCACTTGGATAGGGAAGCCAGCAGTGAGGAAAGGCTTGCTGGTGATCTCACCTGTAGGGATTGTGGGCTCTGTGCCTTCCTGCACATCCATCCCCCAGGACTTTGTCAGGCAGGAAATCCTGTGAAGTTCCTGCCCAGGTTCACCAAATGGAGCTCTGAAGGATTTCATTTTTCTGGCCGGTCTCCTGCCTTATTAAAACACATACAGAAGCCTTTTTCACCCATGAGTTCTTGCTGACAGGTTGACCCCAGGTCATGATGCTGGGTAAAGATAAGAACATTCCACGATGGGCATGGTCCAAAAAACACTTGGAAACTGTATTTTGGAGCTTGCATGAGACCGAGTCTTAGTGATCTTAGCCCAACCCTAGAAATGGGACACCTGTCTTAAAGAGCAGAGGGTCACAGTAAATCATCAAAAGTGAAGCCTTGCATTTGGACCGGCATAGCCCCAATCCTGGCCTTGCTCCTAGTAGCTATGTTCTTCTGGATCTTAATCCTCACTTGTCACTATCTATGAACACTATTAATTTTCCAGAATTTTTATGAGAATCCAATGAAAATATATATAAAATGCTTAACACAGTCCCTAGCATGTAATAAGTGACAAGTGATTTTTTATTTTCCTATTGATTTGGTATTCCTTTCTGATTTACTGCCCTCTAAATTGTTATCAAAAGCAAACTAAAGACAGTAGTGTGTCTGCCGTTTCCACAATAGTACTCTGTAGAGAGAATTATGCATCACTTGATATCCCTGTCATGAAGATCTTATGGTGATGGCCAGGAATACTTTTAAGGTTTTGCCTTCTAACCTCAGCTTCTTAATATTTTTCTAAAAGTACATTTGTAGGTGCTATTATGACAGAGTTTGTTCCCACCTTTCCTTTCACAGTTGCTTTCATACCCCTTTGATACACAGAGATTCTCTTACCCACCCCTGAGCAGGGGTGATTGTTACTCTTCATGACAACCTTCTATTGACACAAGTGTCAGGTATGTGGGAAGAAAGCCAGACCCTTGCTTCTTGGAGTTTGTGGGCCTCCTGTGTTCTTGGGTTTAGAAATTGGAATTTTGATGTGAGCTACAGAAGTCAAACAGGATGTTGGTTGAGATGGTACACCTGGACAGTTAACACTCAGAGCCATCAGTCATTTCCTTTGATTTCTGACTTCTTTATAATTTGGAGGTAATTGGATAGCAAAAACTTGAATTGACGGCATTGTGTTTTTTCTTTTTGTTTGTTTGTTTTTTAACATTGAACTATGCTAATTCCACATTTGGTTTGATTTCTTTCAATTCACTTTTAAAGAATGTGCCTATGTAGAAAGCAAGCCATTAAAGTCAGGGAGATAAACTCTACTTTGCCTTTTCTTCTAGGTGAAAAGAAATGGGCTGTCTCACACAGTGAGCCAGGAGGAAAGAAAGAGACAAGAGGTATGTTCCGAGCCCTGCGTGATGTAGACGCTATGTACACCTTTTGTCTTCCCCTACTGTTTGTGCTTGGTCAGTGTTTGGAAACATATTTGTTTTCTTTCCATGAACACAGCAAGTTTTGTCCTTCAATAAAGTGTCACCCATGTTAGCCCCCAGAACAGAAAAAATAGTGCTAAGTGTCATAACATCATTCCCACGTAAACAACAAAGCACCTGGAACAAATACGTTGAAATACAGATGTTAGATCCTAGAGCTGAAAAAGCCAAAAATTGGATTGTAGTGCTTATATTGGATTCTACACAATATACTCTGATGGGGCAGTGCACACTGCAGAGGAACACTGGGAAAAGAATACATGGACTGATGGACTGCCTTTACAGATTTTCTGTAAATTAAGACATACACCAAAAATCAAGTTTATATGAGAAAAAAATAGACTGATAATAGAACTTTATAACTTGAAATTTAAATCAATACAGTATAAAAGTTTTGCTACTTATTTTTTGGTTGTTGGTTTTTGCTTTGTTTTGTTCTTTTGAGACAGGGTTTTTCTTTGTGGCCTTGGCTTTCCTGGAACTTCCTACGTAGACCAGGCTGGCCTGGTCTTGTTTGAGGGGCTGGGATCAAAGGTGTATGCCACCACACAAACCAGGCTTTGCTTATTCTTATGAAATTTTGACACTGTCACTTTCTTTCATCTTATGCATCTTAATATGTATATGTACATGTGCTTTTGCATACAGGTGGTTTAATATATGTATATATACATATGCTTTTACATACAGGTGATTTAATTCTGCACAGACGTAAAGCTGCCATTGTCTTACTCAAATAGCATGTAATAAAAGAAACATATGTGGGTATATAATAATGACATTTCTTTAAGTTTAAAAAGGTTAAATTATATAACATAACACTTGAGGATACCCACAAGTGTACCACATTTAAAAGACATTAACACTTAATAAAATCTTGTGTTCTCCTTGATTTAATTGAGAGAAGTTTAATTACATGTTGCTGGGTATTCTTCAATCTATACTTTTAAATCATGCATTATATATACATAAAAATACCTTAAATGTTAGGCTGTTCACCTTTTGCACTCAGCATATTTAGGCTTTGTCTGTGCCGGTGTGTATTCCTTCTGGTCATTGTTTAAGCCTCTGTGTGATGCTCCATTCTCTGAAATCTATATCAGTTTTACCAAGAGTTAGTAGAGGTTAAGGATTTTTTTTTTTTTTTTTTTTTGGTGTGGAATAAATGATATTTATTTATTTGTTTACAAATTCAAGAAAAATCTGTCTTTTGCATTTTATGCATTTGGATTTTGTCTATTGCTATTTCTATTGAATTCTGAAAAATCTTTATTGAGATTTCTCATATTTGGCAGCTTACATCTCATGCTCTAACTCCTCTGTCTTCCTCATGCATACCCTTCTTTGCTCTCCAGTAGTCAATGCCTCTTTAGTGATATAGTCAATCATTACTACATTGGACTTTCCTGCACTTACTTTTGTAGGTGATCTGTTCTGCATAGTTCAATGTGTCTTTTGTCTGTATTTTTGGGTGTGATTGTAGAAGCCTTTGTTGTTGAAAACATTTGAAGTCATTTGTGCCTTGGCACAAAATCCTTCAACCCACCCATTACCTATTATTTTTGTTCAGGAGTGGAGAATTTTCTTGAGTTTATTTTATATTTCTTAGGGACAGTAGTGCCGGTTGCATAAACTTGTATAAGGTACAGGCTAATTTTTAATGCTCTTACTCTTTATTTTTTAAATAGTTATATCAGTTAACGCCTTGGAGCTTAGCTGAGGCTAGACAAGAATCTTTAAGGTTAAGGCCTCCCAAACCTTACAGATTTTTTTTGGGGGGGGGGGCAGTAAAGACTGTTAGCTCTGAACAAGTTAGCTTGAGTAACTTGATATGCAAGATGTAGCCCAGCCATGGGCAGCTGGGAATCCACCTGCCTGTGTCTGTCCTCCCAACCAACCTTCCTACTCTGCTCTCTGGGTACCGGCTTGAAGAAAACAGGACCTAAAGGTCAAGGTACCCAGGCCTGTAAGAATGTTTACACAACCCCTATCCCAAACCCCCAAGGAGAAATTCCCCTAGCATTCTTGTTAGTGGAGAATCTAAGTCTGACTTTGTTGAAGAGGTAGATAAATTCTTTACGCAGGTCGTTGGTGTCTCTGTAGATGTGGCCTGGCATTTCATCATTCATAGTAATCAGAAACCTCCGTGTTTGTTACCAAGGGTCTCTGCCCAGGGTGCTTTGTTCCTTCTTGAGACACTGATGAGAGTAGAGTGGGTGGCTTGTTGAGCAGATGGAATTACTTTTAATTGTATGAGTTATATAAAAGAATTCCTGTGGCTGCTAAGGACCTTCGAAGGGTAGGTGCGGTCATGCCACGCAGTATTTGCTGCTGTTAACTGAAAATTAGTCATATTAAAACAGAGAGAAGGAACAAATACAAGAAGGGGACAGGGGACTATTTGTGAGGTGATGATCATAAAGTCTTATTGTCCCTGAAGCAGTGTGCTTTGAAAGCAGGGCTAGAGGAGGTGACCCCAAAGGTTAATTAGTGTCACAGTGAGATTTTATGACATGCCCTACTTCCTTCCATAGATTATACCCTGTGGCAAAGGCATGACCTCAGGATGCCATGGAAAGTCATCCTGGCTCTTTAACTTTTCCTTATGTACAGGCAGTGGCAGTTCTCAGTTTGGGTACACATGCCTTCTAGAAAGACAGTAGTTTGGCAATGCCTTTTCCATGTCATTCCTATGGAGAACAGTGAAAGCTGTATTCAATTCTTCAATGGATTTTAATTAATAAAGTATTTATAATTTTTGATTTGCCAGGCCATCTTTGAAGTCATATCTTCTGAGCATTCCTACTTACTCAGCTTGGAGATCTTGATACGGATGTTTAAAGATTCTAAAGAACTGAGCGACACGATGACTAAAACAGAGCGGCATCACCTTTTCTCCAACATCACAGATGTCTGTGAGGCCAGCAAAAAGTAAGTGGGGCAGCACTTACCAGGGTCACTTGTGTCCTCTAACTAAGGTGATGCCGGGGTTAGGAAGTCTCTCTCCTTCCAAGTGGCTGGTGTCTTCACCCCGTGATAGCTTTAGAACTTACTTTGAGCTGGTGATTTAGGCATTGAGCATCTGTGCTTACTACTTGTCTCAGCAGGGTTGCTAGCTCAGCCTCTCCAACCTTTGGCTTTCCCTGCATGCATCTGCTCCTCCCTTTATTTCTTCTGTTGGGCTAGGCAGTGACACTTGTCTATTGTAGTAAAAATAGGAGAAGATTCAGGCTTTCATCTTCTGTACAAAATAGTTGTTTTTATGATTGATTTTCATTATTTCACATTGAGTTTTGTCATGAGAAGTGGATACATCTGTGTAATACATTTTCATAATTCAAAACTTGTATTTAACATTCTTTTCCAGATTTGCTTTTTCCCACTTAAACATATTTCTAGGCATATACATATGATATCTGACAGATAAATGCCTCAGTGTTTAATAATGAAAATTATTTCCTTATGTAACTGTACTTTGGTTTATGATTTTATCCTATTTGATTTTTTTTATGTATGTATAGGTGTGCATGTGTAATAGGTTCATTTATGTTAAAATGTTGATGTCATGAAAGGTTATATAGTAATCATTCTCTTTATGTACTACTTGTTGTCCACCTGAAAAGCAGCTAGAGCAAGTATTTCTTCCTAAAGTGTCTTCAAAATAGAATATGATTTAGGTAAGAAAATATAATTTTTCTCATTTTTATTTAAGTGGTAACACTGTGGGAAACTATTCTTCCCCTTAACTCTTTCACCTAAATTTTACAAGCCATTACATGTCTGTAATTAAAAGTTTCTCCTTTTTTAAAAATAGTTTTTATTGCAAATCATTTATTGAAGGCACCAGATTACCTGTTGGTTGGGCAGCAGTTCTCAAGGGGTGGAGCATGGGGGTGACGACCCATCTCAGAACTGTCAGTTCACTAAGACTGCAGATGCTTTTGCTCTAATCCACCATGCTTTATTTATCAAATAATGTATATTTTTATAGGAGAAATGCACATCTGTCTATTAACTATTAACGTACCCAGTAATGCATGTACTCTCTTTGTTGATGTTCAGGTTTTTCTGTTTTTAGCCCTAATAATCTCTGGCCATCTTCTTGCTATATAGTACTTGAAGATCATGGTAACAATTCTTGGTTTAGATCTGGAGCCAACTGTTTGCCCCAAGAGCCTTAATATCTTTTGATGTTTAGAAAGAATTCAGGAGGTGCTCATTGTTGGATGGTTTTTGACTTTGAGTAGATAACCATAAAACAAGTCCAAATTCAAATCTGCAGAACAAGATATACTCAAAACAGACTGTAGGTACTTCAAACTTGTCGAAATGCATGCATTGAATGTGTAACTTTTATGTCTGACTAAGCTTCAAAAAGCTTACACAGTTTTATCAAAACAAGAAGCCCAGCTTCTGTCATTGTCCCAACCACCCTGCTTGTATGATTAAAATTTTAAAAAAGACTGGGTTTTATTATGTTTATTTGGGGTAGGGGTGCAGTGTGCCATAATGTGTGTGGATGTCAGAGGACAAACTGCAAGAGTGTTTTCTTCATCCACCATTTAAGTTCAGGGAGTTGAACCTAGGTTGTCAAGATTGGTGGCAAGTGCCCTTAACTGTGAGCCATCTCACTACCCTCCTCTCAAATGTAAATGTGTGTTTATGCATATAAACACACATGCACATGCAGACACACACACACACACACACACACACTCTCACACACTATATGACTTAAGTTAGATACTACAAACATATTCCTTACACTTCTCTCAACCTTTCTTTTTTCACATAATGAGATAGGCTAGAGATTGCTCCCTAATCATTTATAAAGACAGCCATTCTCATTTCTGGCTACCTGATTCTCCATCAAGAGGCTGTTTCATGGCTTACTCATGCAGCCCTCTGTTTATGAATAGGCTTTTTTCCCCCAGTCTCACTATTGCCCTTTGTGCATATGCTTTGTTGTGTTTCAGTTATCTTTGGGAAAAATTTGAGGAGGAATTTCAGTACCAAAGGGTGAATGCGTATGCATTTTTTTGTTTTGTATTGCCAAATTCCCCTTGAAGTATTTGAACAACCTTGCATTACCACTAAGAAGAGACAAGTCCCTGCACCTCCACAGCCTTTCCAGCAGTCTGTCAATAAATCTTTAGATTTTTTTTTGTCAATCTGGTTAGCAAGGAGTATTATCTCAATGTAGATTTAGCATTTTTCTTAAGACCTTTTCTTTAAAAAAAAAATTAAAGCTTTCTGGAACATACTATAGTCAAACTGATACTAAATTAGTGATATTTTCAGCACAGTAAATAGACTGTACTAAGTAATGAACATAGGCTATTGAAGCCTTAGGGTAATAGCAAGGACATTAGTATCTACTCACATATTGCTCAACAAGCAGGATAAGATATGAGAAATCCATCACTGGGAGTAGTGTTTGTCACTGTGAAAACACCTTAGATTGAGTGTACTTTCATAAACGTAGGTGGTATAGTCTACCACACACCTAAGTAAAAGCATAATGTAGACGATACTGGCTATTTCTCCTAGAGCCATGAACAAAGCAGAATTAAGTAAGCATAAAAAAAAAAATTAGACACAGGAATGATGTGTTACAGGATGCTGTTACCAGTGTAACATGGCATATAACTTTATAAGCTTTTGTTCTTTAAGGAAATGGAATGTAATTTGGTGATAAAAGTATAACAAGGAAATTTGTGAACCACTGACATAGTTTTATCACTGTCAAATGTGTGTCCTACTGTGCTTTTGTACCTTAGGCTTGTTTATACCAGTGTCACCACAAACATGAGTAAAGCATTGTTCTGTGACCACATGGCCATTGTAAAGTAGTTAGACCCTAGAACTTGTTTAGTTTCATTATATTTTTTTATGAGACTACTACCATCTTATGTATGGTCTATCACTGACCAAAACGTTCTATGGTGTGCCACAATGCAGTTTCCTGGGCAACATGTAACACAAACAATAAAAAAAAAAAAAAAAAGAATTTAGAAGTTAAAATTTCTTGAATGAGTCTGAATTCAGTAATGTGAGTTTAATTGAGTTATAGGCCGATAGCAGGATTAATTATGCAATCAATTAAAAAAATTTAGAAGAATGTTTTAAAATATTATTTTTGTCATAATATATTCAGAATTACCTACAATAAACAGTGCTATTTAGCAGAGCACTGTGGATGTAGCAAAGCCAGGCTTGTCGGCATGATTGTTTTTTTATGTAATGAAAGAAGTAGCTGTAGGTGATAGCATATTTAGTGTAGATTGAGGTCAGAACCTTGTTGACATCCAGGTTGTCAGCGTGACATCTGGTACCCTTTGTGGTACCTCAGGCTACTCTGTTTGATGATTAAATACCAGGAGGTCCTTCCATGTAAGATAGCATTATTTGCACACAGGCAGAAAGGACAAAGACCATTCTGATTGTAAGTGTATACATAGGCATCTGTCAGTGATATGTCCCTTTTAGATTCTCTTCTATGTGGCAAATGACTCATTTTAGTCACCTCTACAGAGCCTCCTTTTCTGCTAGGCTAAGGACTACACCACATTTTAGCCAGTGTCTGCCTTGAGGTGCTGATATTGTGGGACCAGTGGTGGCAAATGTGCTAGAAGCACCCTAAAGCCTAACACATCTCTGGAAACAGGGATATTTGGGTCACACTAGAGGTTATGGGCCATGGTGAGGTCAAAGGAGAGGAAGGGAGTAGATGAATGGCAAGGCTCATGTGGCTGGTTTTCTACTGTTTGCTGAGGAATTTTACACTTAGCATTTGTATAGTGGGTGAGTGTGCTGGAAGGAACGTGTAGAATCTGCTGTAGAGATAAGCAAGTGTGATGAGAGATTAGAGGTAGTTTTTGCAACATAATCAATGATGATGGGAATATGATAAAACAAAGAGGAAGAACTCAAAAGATGTTTAGAATATGGATTCTTGAGGACTTGGTAGAAAGAGCAAAGTTTCATTTGCTTCCATGGCTTCTGCCAGGCTGACTATGAATGGAGGTTCTGTAATGTGGGAATTTAGTGCAGGAGATAAAGAAGTAAATGTGAGAAAGTGGCACGTGAAGAGAAGGTGTGTAGCTGAAAGGAGGAAACTGGCTGTCCTGGTGGCCCAAACCTTAATATCAGACTCAGGGTGCAGAGGCAGGAAGATCTCTGTGAGTTCAGTTTGAGGCCAACATGGTCTACATAGTAATTGAATTCCACTAGAGCTACATAGTGAGAGCTTGTTAAAGGAGGAAAACAACACAAACAAATTAAAAAGTAAAGAAGAAAGAAATGAAACAACTCTAAAGAAGTATTTTTGTTGTTGCTGTTGTTTTAGTTTTTTTGAAGTAGGGTTTCTCTTTTTAATAGTCTGGCTGTCATGGAACTAACTTTGTAGACCAGGCTGGCCTCAAAGTCACAGAAATCCTCCTGCTTCTGCCTCCCTAGTGCTGGGATTAAAGGTGTGCACCATCATTGCCCCACTCTTGAATGGTGCTGTAGAATTGAATCACAAAGGCAGTTCCTATCACTATGGTTTAAATAACTTACCAACCTTATAACAGTAGTTTTTAAAGTGGTGATGATGAAACCATATACCTCCAAGAAAACGTATTTTTGGGTAATCCTGTGAGTTGATATTAGTAGATGGTGCCTGGGTCATAGTCCTTGACAAATGTGAATGCCCACCTTGAAATTTATAGATGCAGTACAAAGAAAATGAATATCAGCATTGTGACCCAGAGACATTTGAGGAGATTGTGCTTGGAATACGTGAGCTGGGTGGTGTAAGAACTATGTAGTGGGTACCGACCTTTAGTTCTATGGTCCTGGAGAATTTGCCTCTCAATAACATCTCTGTTGGTGCTGTGTACCTGGCAACTGTCTGCTTTCTAACTCTTTGTTACAAGTCTATATGGAGG